CCACAAATTTAATGTGAAGCATAAGGGCCTGTCAAAGTTGAATTATCAAATTGTGGGAATAAGATTTTAACAACCAAAATCCACTTGTGATTTGTCTCATAAAGAGCTCAGAAGAAAGAACCATCACCTCCTTGTCGAGTAATATATTTAAAACCAATTTCAACAATAATGGGTAAAAGATATTTCTAGTCCTTTGGTACATTTAGCTTATTTTTTTGAAATAATTTCTTTTCAGTTATTCATAGGTTGTTGTGACCGATCCACATGATATGCTCCATGGTTTTGTGCTTCTCATAGAGATACACCATATATCATAAATAAATGCACAACAATGGATATTCTTCTTGAACAACATTTTTGCTCAAAATAAGAAATTCCATTATGGGGTGTTACTGATTCAATGATTCATTGATATCCAAAACTCAGACAACTCAGACAAAAAGGAGATCAAATTGTATGTGGACTGAATGTTTAGAAAATCTTGAAACTTTGTTTTTGAGAGCTGTATGAAGATTTTTGAATTTAGCTAGAGTTGCGTTTGTGATCTATCGGCCTCAATACATTTGATGCATTGAATTTATTATATTGTCACAGGATTGAATTATTACCTTAAACTATGGGATATGAAGACGAAGTTAAAGAGAATATGAACAATTGAGTGGATTCATTTATTCATTTAATCTATTGTTGATAGGTTTATTAGAATTTGATGAATATCAAGGGAGTGCACAGTTCAGAAATATTCTTTACCAGTAATTATGGATTTATAATATGAAGTTTCAGGGGAGCCCTGTGGTAATGATAATAATTCTAATCCATTTGGTAAAGATAGTTGATGTTCCTATTCAGATCTGATTCAGGTCTTGTGAATTGATAAGCTGCACCCGATTTTAAAATATGTGGTTTATTAAATAAAATTTCAGTTTCTTGTTAATTTATTAAGCAAGGGTTTTAAAAGGATTATAAAATTAATGATTATGAATACATTGAGAGTGAAAAGCTCTATTGTGATTTGTTGTCACAGAAAATTTTAAAGGAATGAAAAGTCCTATTTGAAGATAAATTTACATAAATACCTTAGGATATTTAGATGAGAATAAGAAGCGTGTTTTACACGTTTAGAAGACTACTCAAATGGAAAAACTAAGATATTGGAGTGTCAGTTAAAACTGAATATCAACAGAATGGAATTTTAATGATTCATGAATCATCACCTAGATTATATATTGAATTTTTGGTGTCTTTTATGAGATTTGGTTGTAACAATTCTCACGGATTCTTCTTTTCATACCTAGAAGTGCTCAATGACATGATTGTGAAGTATTCAAATAAACACCGACGCAGTTAATTATTCCATAGCAACTTTATTGTTGTTGGTTTAGACATTTATTTGAACCCTCAAATTTATTTCTCAATGGAATGGTGATGACATCTATGTGTATGTTCATTGATCGTTATTTTACAACTTTGAAAAGTTCAACAAATCAAAATTGTATTTTTTTAAAATTATATTCTTTATTGATATCTGGTGATTTGAAAAGAGAACAAAAAAATGATGGTGCTCTTGGTTCAAATGATTTAAATTCTTCAAATAAAAGTATCCCAATCACATTAAAAGAAATTGAATTATTTAATATGTATATATGTATATCAGCTATAGTCATTCTTTAAAACACAATAGTAGGAAATAAGATTAATCTTGTTAAGAAATGTGACACATCTCTTTTTCATTTGTTCATCGCCAAACTAGTAACAACCCATTGAAAATTGTTCTTATTTACTCTCCCCCTTTAAAAAATCATGTAAAGCATAGTTGGTTTCATTGTTTTACTGGATACATTTTTTCACAAACCCAGCATACTCGTCTGAGCGTTGTTCACTGTCAAATTGGGTTACTTGATGAGCCTTCAGCAGAACAGAGTTGATTTTTTAGGGAACTTAAAGCTTTAGCATAAATGTGACTTAGTAAAATTTGAAACTTATCATTGAAATTCCCGGCCTCTCAGCCAGCTCTAACTCAAATTTAAAAAACATCTTATTTTGATGATGCTAAATGAAAAATCGAGAGTAATGAGTAACAGCATTTCGAACAGCCGAGTCAATATGTCAAAATCTATGAGTCTATTTTTTTAGCTTTATATACTTATTTCAAATTGTTCATAAGTTTCTATTCAACATCCATATAAAATTTTATGGTATTCATAAGAAAAATATGGCAACTATCTTATGCTTTGAGTCATGTTTATGTACCCATATATTTCATCACCTTTATTACTTTAACATTGTTATTGATGAACAGACACCCCGTTATCAGTAGCTGTAGTGGAAGTTGGTATTGGATTGCTTGTTGTAGTATGATACATAACGAATAGAATGACAATATTACACAGTTATTGAGCGTATGATGACACGTTCCATATAGATAGAGCCTCGTCTAGTATTCATGGGAATACTTTTGTTCATTTATACTATTTACCTTATTTCAATTATATCCAAACTAATAATCTTTATGTCTATCTTCATTTGTACTAATATTGTCATATTCTCATATGATTATTCTATTTATATTCACGAGTAGATCAGTTGCCTAATTCACTCAGATAGTAACCATGTTGCAAGTTGGAAATCGTTGGTAGTACAGACATGTTTTTCTTTCACAAATTCTATATAATTGTATATTACACTTATACATAAACTTAACTATATAGCTAACAGATAATTTGGACTTTTTATATATTCATTCTATTAGATTTCTTTTTCTTTAATTGACATTTCTGTTGTTATAAATTATACGTATGGTAATCAAATAAGTCTAGATAAAGTATGAGACTATCGCTATAATATCCTAGGTATCTATAGTAATAAAAGGCAATAAATTGTATATCAACTTCTTAACTATATAAATATATAATAGAGACTTGGATAAAAAATTTTCTTTAAGACTAAATATTGTTCCCAATATTATGTGATCGTGATTGAACTTATGTTGAACATAAAACCAAACAAATATAATAATAATAACAATAAAGCAAACAATTAAATTTAGATAATAATACATTAATGTACATGTAAAACAAACAGCTAATTCAAATAACATCAACATAACATCTTTTGGATTAACTCTTGGAAAATGGTTCTGTTAACACTTTTAGTTGGGATATCAGCCAATTTGCTCTTGAATTTATATAATTCAATTTTTATCACCCCAGTCAAGACCAAATTTTTGATAAAGTGATATTCAATGGAAAAATATTTGCTTTGTTTATGATATGTTTATGACTATCCAATGTGAGTGTAGATAGGTTATCACTAATCACATTGATCTTGACTTCTTGTTTTTCTAACTCATAAAGAAGGTTTCTTAAATATAGACCTGAGCGTGAACCATTTGATAAAGCTATATATTCACTTTCCATGCTAGACAGACTAACACTCTTTTGACGACCACTCGACCAGGAGATTAAGCAGCAGTTGAGATACACTAAACATCCTGATTGTGAGCATCTTGTAGTTTTATTGCCAGCCCAGTCAGAATCAGTTAAAATATCAATTCTAAATAAATTAGAGGTAACAGGTGATTCAGAAACAGTTGTAGCAAAACCGATTTTAGACTTATCCAAATGTGAAAAATCCTGAAACTGTAACAGTGGTGTTTTGACTGAGTATTGTAAACCTAGATCTTTTGTTTGAATACAATATTGTAAAACTCTTTGTGCCATAGATAAATGAGTGTTTCTTGGTGAAGCAACAAATTTACTGAGAATATTGACAGCGAAACAAATATCAGCTCTAACCGTTATGGACAAATATAAGATGGTTCCAATTAATTTCCGATATTTCTCATGATCTATTTGGTTCAATAAAGGACTGTTTAAATCTTCTGGATCAAAACCGGCAGCTAATGGTGTTAAGATTTGTGTCTTTTTAATCTGAATATTTTCATTTACCTGAACCTTGCTCAAGTATGTAGTGTTGTAGGTTAGAGATCGTACCAGATATTGTACTCATTTTTCTATAACAAACTCTATATTAAACTTATACAAAACTTAATTAATAATTAACAGACAATTTGGACTCTTTATATATTCTTTTAATCTTCTAATCTTTCTTTTACAATTTCCTTTAATCACATAGTATATATCTTGTTTAACCATTTATGCACAATTCGTGCATACCAAATGTATAATCTATACCTTAACTTAATCTGTATCTTGTGTGCATATCAAATGCGGGATTTGTGCATAATTCATTTTTACATAATCAATACCATTTATAATCACATTTATTTTGATAATGGATCATAACATTCAACACCCTCTCGTGAACCAAAATCACAAATAAATCTTTAACATAAACTTAACAGCTTGTTGAATGGTGGAGCAGCAATTGCTTTAGTTAATAGATCAGCAACTTGTACACCAGTTTCCAAATATTCAAGCTTAACAGTACCAGAAGCAATATGATCTCTAATAAACATATGTCTTGTATCAATATGTTTCGTCTTATGATGAAATGACGGATGTTGTAGAAGTTTCAACGCACCTTGATTATCATTATATATCAAGAACTTCTTCAACTCAATACCTAAATCTTTCAATACCATCAAGCACCACAAACCATCTTTTGTAGATTCGCAGACAGCCATGAATTCAGCTTCAGTAGTTGATAAAGCGATAGTTGGCTGTAATTTTGATCTCCATGTAATTGGACCACCTGCAAAATTGAACATAAAACCAGTAGTTGATCTTCTTGATTTCAAACAATTAGCATAATCAGCATCACAAAAACCAACTAATTCAGAACCACCTGGTGAATAATTTATTGCTAAATCTTTGGTAGAAATTAAGTATTTAACTGTAAGACATTATGGGTGGAGGTTATAATAGCACTCATCCTTTATTCCAAGTTCCTTATACAAATTATACAAAAACTAATCACTAGATCTTACACATTTTGATCTCCTAATATATAACTATCATTTCAATTAGCTCCACTTTTTTGATCACTAACTAACCTCTTAATTAATCAGCAATTGATCATTCATTTAACTTTAATATCACCACTTTTGATATAACTTCTTATTCATTAGTCATTCAATTATTCTTGTAAACTTTAATATCTCCACTCTTGCTATAACTTCTAATTCTCTACCTTGTTTAATAGCTATTGTAAACTTTAATATAATAATATCTCCACTCTTAAAATAACTTCTTAATCATTTAATAACTCTCTACAAACTTTAATATCTCCACTTTAAATAACTTCTAATTCATTCAGCAATCTTTATACCCAACAACTTAAATTATGTGATATTGGTACATCATAACTTCCAACACCCTCTCGTGTACCAAAATCACTAACATCATATTCTAACATAAATCCAATAACTTATTAAATTGAGGAGCAGCAATTGCTTTAGTTAACAAATCAGCAACTTGTACACCAGTTTCCAAATATTCAAGCTTAACAGTACCAGAAGCAGTATGGTCTCTAATAAACATATGTCTAGTATCAATATGTTTAGTCTTATGATGAAATGATGGATGTTGTAGAAGTTTCAAAGCACCTTGATTATCATTATATATCACAAACTCCTTTAACTCAATACCTAAATCCTTTAATACCATTAGGCACCATAAACCGTCTTTTGTGGACTCTGTGACAGCCATGAATTCTGCTTCGGTAGTTGATAACGCAACAGTTGGTTGTAATTTTGATCTCCATGTAATTGGTCCATTAGCAAACTTGAACATAAAGCCAGTAGTTGATCTTCTTGACTTCAAACAATTAGCATAATCAGCATCAGAATAACCAACTAATTCAGAACAACCTGGTGAATAATTAATTGCTAAATCTTTAGTAGAAATTAAATATTTAACAACTTTCTTAGCAGCTTGTAAATGAATCTTTCTTGGATTTTGAAGATTTCTTGACAAGACACCAACAGCATAAGTAATATCAAATCTACCAGAATTACTGGCGTAAAGCAACTTCCCGACAATACTTCTGAACTCTGTAGAATCTATCTCAGGAGAATTCTCAACATCTGGACCAGATAAATTTGTGCCAACACTCAATGGAATCGAAACACCTTTAACATCTTCAAAGCCTAATTCTTGAGCAATAGTATTAATATAATCAGTCAATTTCAATGAAATGGAGAAATCTTCATGTTGTTCAATATTTAAACCTAAAAATTTCTTAATTGGACCTAAATCTTTAGTTTTGAAAGCAGATTTTGAGCATCCTTTAACTTCATCTAATAAATCACTAGAGTTAGAAGCAACTAATATATCATCTACATAAAGACCCAATAAAACTATGTTGGACCCCGAAGCCTTGTAATAAAGACCCATTTCTGCTTCATTTCTTTTAAAACCAAGGTTAATTAAGATCTGATTTATAGTACGGTTCCAGACCATAGGAGCCTGCTTGAGCCCATAAAGACTCTTGTTTAACTTTAAAACCATACCATTATCAACTTTATAACCATCAGGCTGTTCCATATATAACTCCTCACCGTCAAGTTTCCCGTTGAGAAACGCATTTGAAACATCCATTTGATGCACAACTAATTTCAATGAAGCAGCAGTAGCAAGAAAAATTCTAACTGCCTCTGCACGAATCACAGGGCTAAATGTCTCCTCATAGTTTATACCTTTGATCTGAGAAAATCCTTTCAGGACAAGACGACATTTACACAATCCCGTGTCTTTGATTGAGCATACCCATTTACATTTAATTGGTTTGATACCAGGAGGACATTTGGAGTATGAGAATGTTTCATTGTCTTTTATTGCTGACCATTCTTTATCAAATGCTTCTTTCCATTCATCAGCATTTGGAAGCTTCATAGCTTGAGCAAAAGTCATTGGAATAATACCTTTATTAACAGCAGCCATAAATGCAGTAGCAGCTAAATTAACACTTGGATATGAAATTTGCTTCATAGCACTACCAACTTCAGATTCATTTATAGCATCACCTTCATCTTCAGGTTCTTCAATAACTGGAACACATGAATCATCATCATCAACATTTCTAACCATTGGTGTAACTTTAGCTTTCTTGGTGATGCGTTTTTCCCTCTCGGAAGCTGGAGTTGGTTTCAACAATAAAAGTGGATCTGAGTCAAACGCAATTGATGGTAAAGACTCTTTGTAATTGGCTAAGGGTGCAAATGGGTTTGCAGCAGTAGGAACACTAGGTGAAGATGGTGGAGATGGAGAGCGACTAGCAGCCCTTTTAGAGCGAACAACTTGCCATTGTTCATCATTTTTGGCAGATTCAGGTTCACTATCAGAGTGTTGTTCATCAATTTTGGCAGAGTCAGGGTCAATACCAGAGTGTTTTGGGGTTGTACTCTCCATGTCTTCTTCAGGGATATCAGATTCAGCATAACTCTGATCCGATTTAGACATTGATATATCATTATCTTCATCAACATCACCTGCTTTTGGAGGAAGTATACCAGAAATTCCTCCAAGTGGCTTTTGGTAACCACCTTTAAAGCTCTTAACACCAGAACCCCCTGAAATAGTTGGATATTCAGCGTCTTGAGCAGGAAGCTTGGGATAATAATACCTTTCCTCTAAAAACTTCACTTGTGAGCTAACAACATAATCTTCAGTTAAAGGGTCAAATAATATATAACCTCCATGTTGATACTTATTTGTATCATCAGCATAACCGATAAACATCATTTCTTTTGCTGTATCACCGAATTTTCCATCTCGGAGATCCGATGGAATTGTAGCATAGGCGATACACCCAAAAACTCTTAAATGCGAAAAATCCGTCTTAACTTTATAGAATAGGGACAAGGAAGTATCAGATTTAACTTTGTTTGGTAACCTATTCATGAGATAGCAAGCAGTTGTAATGGCATCTGGCCAAAAACATTCAGGTAAATTGGCAGCCGTTAGCATCGAACGCCCTTTGGTCTGGAGACTGCGGTGAAATCTTTCCAGCTTGCCGTTCTGGAAGCTCTGATGGGGGATGGTGAGTTGATGATGAATTCCTGACTCCTGAAAAAATTGGTTAAGTTTATTATTAACAAATTCTCCTCCATGATCTGTTCTAACAGCACCACACACAAAACCTAACCCTTTGGCAGCAAAGTATCTTTCAGTATACTTGATAAAGTTTATTAATTCATCTGTTGATTGTGATTTATCTTGAATGGGAATAACTTTGGTAAAATTACTATATGAATCAACTATAGTTAAAAAGAAAGTTTCCAGATCACGGCCTTTGTAACGAAATGGACCACTTAAGTCAGCGTGGATGAGCTCAAGCGGATGCTTTGCTATGAATTTAGAATCTTTTGGTTTCTTCATGATGGATTTTGTACGAAGACATGCTTCGCAGTCTTTCACATTTTGTGTTTCAGTCATAACCACTCCATACCTTTTTAAACCATTCAATACACTAAGGTTTGGATGACCTAAGCGCAGATACCAAATTGAGCTAGGTAATCCAGCTTTAATTGAACGGAACACAAAACCAGAAGATGTGTAATCATTAGTACCAGCAATTTGAAGTTCATTAAGTTTTCCATGGGCTTTTCTACCCAAGATAAAATCTGGATCTAATTTCAAATCAACAACAGTATCATTCAAAAATAAGAATTGGGCACCAGTATCAGTTGCTTGAGAAACACTAATTAAGTTTGCAGCAGACGATGGTATGTGTAACACACCAGTAAGGGTTAATAATGTATTATTCTTCAACATAATTTCAACAGAACCTGTCCCTTCAATAGGAATAGGTAAATCATTGATGCCTTTAATGTACTGATCTTGGACCTGTGTGTAAGTTTTAAACATGTTTCTCTCTTTAAATATATGTTGGGTAGCACCGCTATCTATAAATATACCTTCATAGCTTTCATCACTTCCAAGAAAACCGAACCAAGCTGTTCGTCTAACATTTTCACTCTTATTGATTGATCTTTGGGCATCATGTCTAGCTTTTCGTTCTTTATATTGTTCAGTTAATGGTAAACGGCAGTCTTTAACGTAGTGTCCTGGTTTGTTGCAGTTAAAGCACTTTTTAGGACCACGTCCACCACTATTCGCAACAAAAGCAGATGTTTCATTAACTGTACCATTACCACTACCACCAGCATTCATAAAAATTTCATGAGATAAACCCATTATATTATTTAAATTAAATTGATCAAGAGATTGACCGTAATGAGTGTGGTATGCTGTTGCAAGCTCTTTTATTGAGAGAATTCCGGTTCATCAGAACCTAAGTTGTAATTGTTGTTGTTGTCAGACATCGTATTTTAATCTGTTAATTAATTGTTCTTTTCAATTGTAAATGTATTTGTACTTGTAAATGTAATAAATTGGGGATAATATATTAAAGAAATTTAAAATATACAATTTACTTAGGGGTTTCTATCTCTTATATAGTATTTTCAATACTCTTCAACTTAATTCAAGAACCACTCTTCTTCTCATACGTCAACAGTGACGTAGCCCCGAAACCAAAACGTAACTAAAATCAAAAACATAATATAACCATTTAAACCTAGGTTATATTTCTTAATTTAACTTCTTAAGCTAACATATAAGTTCAAATAACTATTAGAACTTATTCCACTTCATACAAACCTTTGTAAGTAGTGTCTTTACCAATATGACGTGATGTATAATTGTAAACATCACCATTATAAATATTACCGGAATAACTAACATCACTACTCTTTTCTTGAATCTTTTGCAAATCATGAATTTCATTAGCATCAACATTTTCAACCATTTCAACAAATGGATCATCCTTTTCAGCAAAAGATTCATTTTCATCACTATCTATTAAAATAGGATTAAATTGCGTTGACCCATCATAAACAATTAAAGAGTCATTACTAGAATCTTTATTGATATTTTGATAAAATTCCATTGATTGGTTGTTATTATTCTCAATTTGGCAGTAACCAAATGTTCTGTACTTCTGATTATAATCTTTTATAAAATTAGAACTTGAATATTCATCATCTTCATTACCATCACTTAAAACAAATTCATCTTCAGGATCTAAATCGAAATTTGTTTCACCCCATCCTTTATGATAATCATTAACATCACCATAATTTGGAACATCAATTAACAATTCAGGATAAATTTCACCATCTGTTTCAGCATTCTTATTTGTATTATAATGATTTGAAATACCATCAATAAAATCAATATTTTCCTGAAAATTTGAATTGATCATAGAGTTGAAATTGTTAGACAAATTAACAATTTTAATGGAGAGTTTCTGTTTGAATATGCTTTTGAACTGATAATATTCCTCATCAAAATTAATTTTCTTGAGCACCTTATAGAGAAAAATTCTGGTATCAATCCAGTAATGGATATTGGTCCAAAGACATATACCATATTTGTGTGAACCACCAATATTGCATCTACAGCTGTACTATTCTGGTTGATTGTGAAATATAGTTTCAGCTTGTAGTTATTTAACTCAGTAGCATCTGAACTTTTAATAATGAACTTTGTAACTAAAGCACCATCAACTATATGAATATATTCTTTAACTTCTTCATCTTCCCATAAGATTTCTCCTGATTTAGAGATTCCATTAGCAACTAACCTTTTTAATTCATTTCTAGTTCTTTCCATTTTGAACAATAATAATGTAAACCTTTTTATATAACTTGAAAATATAACAGCAGCAACTTTGAATAATGTAAATAAATATGAGCTGTATGATTGTTGAAAATATCTTTCATTTAAATTTGTATCTATGATTCTTTGGTCTTTATATATGTATTCTTAAAAATAATTTGATATCTATATCATCACTTCGATATTTGATTTGATATCTATATCGTCACTTCAATATTTGATGTCATTTGGTGATGAATGTTCTGTCATCAAACTTTAAACTTTAATGTATGGTAAAATTTTCATTGAATTTCTCAAGTTTTATTCAAAACCGCGAAATATTAATTAATCATCATTTTCAAAACCGCGAACAAATTTTTAATTTTTATTATTATCATCTGTATCACTACTACTCTTTTTGTGAATAACACTTGAGTTTAGTGACGAACAAACCTTATTTGCAAATTTATCTAATTTGGGTTTTGATAAACTTTTCGTATACATATCAGAAATGTTCTCATTGGTTGAAATGTATGATAAAGTAAATAAATTGTCCACTGAATGGCGTAACTTGAACAACCTTAATTCAAAGAATTTATTGGCGTCATTGAGCCTAGAACTTCTGATGTAATTAATAGCACCTTGAGAATCAGACCACAAATGTATTGGAACTTCAATATTAACAACATCTTTTGCTAAATGTTTGAAAAATAAGCCTTTATTCAACCCCAAATCAATGCTATATAATTCTGCCTCTGTTGGAGCTGTGTTACCTTAGTGTTTAACACCTCGAGTAACTCTACAGCACTGGCCTCCATTACAATATAATTTTGATGTCCAATTCCCTTATACACTATCTAATATACAATTCTTATTGGGATTTCTCTTCTATATATACATTAACAAATTTTACAATATCATGCAAACTATTGCATATGCACTTTTCTCACTTTTATTAGGGCATAACATTCAGTATTCAACACCTTCCCTTAAGTGCAATTCCTTAGGCCTAGTAAATCTCTAAGGTGAATAAACTTACCTTTACTTAATGCTTTTGTAAATATATCAGCACTTAAATCTTGACCATTCTGATGTATAAACTTCACAACCTTTTCATGTACTAACTCCCTTATATAATGTAACCTAATAGAGATATGTTTGGATCTAGAATGAAAATTTGGATGTTCACTTAACAGTCTTGCTGATTCATTATCTTGATAAATGTTGATTGTTTCATTAGCACCAGGTATATTCATGATAGATAGTAATTGTTGTAACCACACAATTTCTTTAGATGTTTCAACCATTGAAACATATTCAGACTCCGTGGAACTCAAGGTTGTCATGTTCTGGGTTTTACTTTTCCAAGTTACTGGTGCCCCAGCTATTTTGGTCATATAACCACTAACACTTTTGAAATTTTCTGCAGTTCCATAACTTGCATCACAATATCCTGTAATTAACCCTTTATCTTGATTATTATCTCCATAATGTATACCCAGGTTTATGGTTCCCTTAAGGTAGCGTAGCACTTTGATTGCAGCCTTAAAAGCTTTAACTGTTGGTGATTGCATGTATTTGGTCAATTGACTTGTTGCAAAACAAATATCTGGACGGGTAGTGACTGATGCAAATAAAATTTTACCACATATGGATCTATATTTAGTTGCATCCGGCATTAGTTCATCTTCTTTTGATAATTTTAGATTTGGATCCATTGGGTTGGAAATTGGGAAAAGTTCTTCATTGTTATCAGCTTCAAATTCTTTAACAACCTTATTTATAAAATCTTTTGATGATAATTCAACAACACCATTGTGTTGTGTGATATTCATACCTAAGAACTTACTTTCAATTTTATCTTTGTTCTGTACAAAATCTTCTATCTCATCACCACCGGAAATTTTAAATCTGGTCAAAAGTGATTTCTTAAAATTGTATAGATTGTTTGTATCATTTGATAACACGAGGAGATCATCAACATACAACCCGATCAGGACAATTCCAGTTGGTGTACTCTTGTAGAAAACGCAATTGTCTGCTGAATTAACCTTAAATCCTTCTTTTGTTAAAAAATTGGTCATTAATTCATTCCAGTTTAAACCAGATTGAGGCAAACCGTAAACACTTTTGTTTAAAAGCCAGACATTATCTTTATCCTCATAACCTTCACCCATGTAAGGAATCTTTAAATAAACCTTTTCTTTTAATTTACTGTGTAAATAAGCAGTCTTTATATCATATGTTGCGATTTTTAGGTTCAATGCACCAGCTAACGACAGGAGCATCTTAACACTGTCATAGCGTATCACCGGGCTGTAGCTGTGAGTGTAATCTTCACCTTGTACCATTTTATGGCCTTGAGCTATTATCCTACTCTTTAACTTGTTATCACTCTTTACCGTGTAATGCCACCTGGAGCCCACGATCTTTTCTCCATTAGGAGCTCTTACTACCTTGTAAACATCATTTTCTTTAAAAGAACCTAATTCATCACCCATTGATTCTAACCAGTTGTTTTTATGAGGATTTCTATCTATAGATTTTGGTGATGTTGGTAAAATAATGTCAGAACTTTGATTTTGACTAATTTTGACCATAGCAGTAGCAGCATAATTGATATGATCATCACCCTTAATTCGTTTTGATGCAGGTCTTGATATTAGCTCAACTGTATTCTCATTATCATATATATTGTTCTTTGTGACCATCATATTAGAAGTATCATCTTTAGTACTATCATAATGCTTTACCAATGTTCCTTCCCTTGATTCTTGAATATGATTGGTGTTATAATGAACTAATGATCTTTCAGTGATATCCTCATCATCAGGAGCAATAGCTAAAAACCGATTAGGTGAAACAGGACGTGATGACGATGATGATGATGATGGTGAACGAGGTCTTTTAAAAGTTAGTTTCTTTGGTGTAACTATGAACCGGTCATTATATCCTCGGTCATCAAATTTTTCACCTGTAGTATGCTCGGAACTAATATATTCTCCGGAATTCAAAATGGAATCAGCCCCTAATGGTTTGATTTCAGGTAAAGTTCTTTCATTAAAACCATGATCATACTCAAATTCTGGACTTGATGGTATTGACTTAGAGGAGTTGTCAGCATTATTGGAATGAGAATCATTATCTGTTGTGTCCTTAGGGTCAGTGCTTGGACTTGCTTGTGCATTATGATCAGATCTTGAGGCCAAAGATAATTGATCATGATTAACAGATTGATCACAATCGGATCCTGTGGATAATATGGAACCATCTGAAATGGAACAAATTGTGGAAGAATGGTCATTAGTATCATCTGAACCTTGAGCGTCTTCTGATCTGAAAGAATCATCAAATGTTTTAGAATTATTTGATTGAGTGGTACCACGATGTGTGCTAATTGATGAACCACTATTTTGAACAAAACCACCTGTTCTTGTGCCAGAGCCAAATGCATTAATAACAACAACCTCATCGTATTCTGCTAAAGGAAATCTAGCTTCATCAAAATCACAGCTGTTGGCAACAACAATCTTTTGTTTGGATAAATCATATAATCTATATGCTTTATGTACAGGATCATATCCTACCATGGTACATACTGCACCATTATTTTCCAATTTATGTGATCTATAAGCGGTTGGAATAAGAACATAAGCAGTTGAACCAAAAACTTTTAAATGGGAATAATTTGGTGGAGTTCCAGTAAATTTTTCAAATGGAGTTATTTTATATTGAAATCTTGAGTGCAAAGTTCTATTCAACAAGTATGAAGCAGTATTCAATGCTTCTGTCCACAGGGAAAAAGGTACTTTACCACCAGCTAAAAGACCTCTCATTTTATCTTCAATGGTACGCTGGACACGCTCACAAGCGCCGTTTTGTGAACTATTGTAAGGGACACTGAATTCATGAACAATCCCGTTGGTAGTACAGAAATCATGAAATTCTGATGAACAATATTCACCACCATTGTCGGATCTAATAGTTGCAACCTTTGAATTCAATTTGGATTCATGAATTTTGATGAAATTTTGAATAACAGCACTAGCATCACCTTTATTAACCAGTGGATAAACATAATTATATCTACTGTAATCATCCAAGATGGTTACGAAATATTGATATTCTGATTCTGATATATTGAGTGGACCCACCACATCAGTATGTAATAGCTCTAATACCCGATTGGTTGTTCTGGTTGCCTTCTTGTTGATTTTCTTCACAGCTTTGGTAACCTTACATGTTGGACATGGTGAGATATAGTCTTCACTAGAACCAAAATGTTTAATACCTAATTGAAATTTCTTATTTAACTTTTGTACTGTAGGTAAAGCTGGATGGCCAAGACGAGCATGCCAGAGCTCATATTGGTTTAAAGATGGAGGATCTACACTAACATAAGCATAAGAACCATTTATTTCATCATCTCTAGTTAACACTTTAAACAACATTGTATCAGTATCTAAAAGACCATAAACAGCATCTGTAACTGAATCTCTAACTTCATTTTCTGTAAATATCAATTTTGCACCATTAACTGTTGCCTTTGCAACACTAATAATGTTTAAAGGTGAGTTTGGTACATATGCAACATCTTGTAATGTAAAATCTTTACCACTAATATTTAACTTTACTGTACCAAAACCTGAAATAATAGAGTCACCACCTAAACCTTTAATTTTATCATGAGCATCTCTAAATTCTGTAAAAGATTGTCTGGAATTGCTTATATGTACTGAAGCACCCGAATCGAATATCCATTCATGACTATTTAGACCATCTGATTGACCCAAAAACACAGCAGCCCATGCTGTAGGTGTATTCTCTTTAGCATTTCCAGCACCAGACATAAATTGTTTGTGTTTTTCACAATCCTTGATGAGATGATCATTGGAATTACAATAATAACAGTTTCTTTTTGATTTTGTACCATTGAATTTTCTTTTTGGTTTAAATCCTGTAGCAGCAAATTCAGCGTTATTATCATTTGTATTAGCACTCTTTGTAGCATGATCAATATTATCCATGCTTCCATAAAGC